GTGTGGGGAGAGGGATATATATATATATATATATATATATATATATATATATATATATATATATATATATATATATATATATATATATATATATATATATGTATGTATATATGTATATATATGTATGTATATATATGTATGTATATATGTATCTATATGTATGTATATATGTATCTATATGTATACATATACATATACATATACATATACATATATATATCGAGACACACACACCGAGTGGTCTACCGAAATGTACCGCTCGATATACTTATACCGTACCATACCGAGCTGAGTTCGAAACTCTGGTACGATATGAAATTATGAACCTTGTGTATTAGCCTACCCCCATGACACAAAATGCCAATCTTTTTAGTAATATTAGTAGCTAAAGAAACAAGGACGACTTAGAAGGTTAGAGAAAAAACATCACACGACAAAAATAGAGTGCCAACCTCGAAAATTTTCTACATTTAGTAGATTATGAACATAAAACATTTAACTTAAGATGGTATGTAGGCTGCAGAAAAGGAGAACAAGTGATGCCTTACTTTTGAGAATCGAGTAAAAGAATTTAAAAGGAAGAAAAGACAGACTACAAGAACAAAAAAGAAGAAAAATTATGAGAATTTTGGAACCTAATGTGCATCTACCAAGAAAAGGCCAGGAACTCGTCCTATCCTAGGGAAATTCTATACAAAAAAAAGGTGATATGGGAAAGGAATATAGAAGAGAGAACCAAACAAGAACAGAAAAAACAAATATGGGAGGTAGAACAGTGCACAACCATAGGAAAGAAGATAAGTAGGTCATTCTTGAAACTTGCCTGCAAATATCACGAAGCATCTTTAATCTCTTACGCCAACTTAGTCTCTTTTTCTGACCACTCGTATGTATAAGATAATATAAAGATCCCATCTCCATGTATTCTGTAATCAATGACAGGTGTGGAGGCTTCATGCATGCACCAAGAAATAATATAACTGCACAAAAAAAATATATACAACAAGAATTAAGTGAAGAAAGTTGTATGCAAAAGATTCATTGCTCAATCTACCTCCCAAATCACTATCTGGCAGTAGAAAATCATTACCGTTAGGATGCCGAAGACGGCTGAAAAGAGAAAAAGAATGCAGTAAGAAGAAAAGCATCTAAAAACAGAAAGACCATGTTAAATCTTTATATATGGCAAGAAAGTGATACCTTAGTATGGATATCTCATTGCAAAAGTCTTCCATGTTCTCAGTTGTCATATCTTGTTCTAGAAAAACTTTTATTGCAACATCAGTACCATTCCATATGCCACGGAAAACTTCCCCAAAGAATCCTAAACATAAGTAAAATGATTTATTAAGCAATATCCCATTAACAAATAGTAGGCAGCATGAATTCTTAAGATCAAATAATTGCTGAAAATAGCTTCACATTTTCTAGTTCTGTCCAGCTAAAGAAACTTGAGACCAACTCTTTTGCAAGTGATAGGCGTTAGAATTCAAACAGTAAGAACAAATGGATTTAAATAATAATACTAAAACCCATACCAGAATCTTCTCTGACTGATATATATGTTGCGGTATGATATTACATGCTTTGCGCACAAATAAAAAATAGCAAGGACTGTTTGGTATGTCATCACTGACTGACACCAAAAGTACACTGGTATATGTAATGAAAGATATTCCTAGAACCATTTATGGAAAAGAAAGGGAAGGGTACCCCTAGGACCTCAGATGAGTCTTCGATTAAAAACTTTGATGTACCAGAATGTTCTTGGCTTTCGATACCTACTTGTTAACTATAAGTTCTTTTGCTTGGCTTGCATATTGTTAAGTCGCTTCAAGAAGTTAACTGCTTCCAATTGGAGATGCATGTACAAACCATCATTTAACATGGTACATCTTGTATATGCACCAAGATTAGAACTTCTGCATAACCTTAATGATAGCATTATAAGATAGCCTCTTTGAGCTAAGGAATTTTTGGGTGTTAAACATGATTAATTCGTACATAGAAAATGTATCTTATTGGCTTGCACAATTATAAAGACAACCTGCAACTGATTTCTGTAAAGATGTAATTGATTGACACAAATTTTGCTTCTCCCTAGTTGCTCGCAGTACACAACTCAAGTTATACATTTGCAATGCACTTCAGTATCTCGATAATACATAATTAAGCAATCACTAAAAAGAACGATCGGAATAGGTCATTTGCTAGATTTTGGTAATGCAGTGAAAGAACTAGGAGTGAGGAAACATGCAGTTGCAGATAAGGATAAGAAAGGATCAGGAACAGAAGATTTGAGCATGGTCAATTTAACTCAAAAGTAAACCATAATCAAAATGCAGAAATGATATGCAAGAGAAATATATTTCTTCAAGTTACTTGCCTATTCCAACACGTGTCCCAACAGTTAACTCTGAGAATACAATGTTCCATTCATCAAAGGGTAGCAAAGGCTTATTCAGAAGGGAAGATGACTGCAAAATTTTATTCCATTTTGACTCCATGACTTCTGTTCTTAGAAAATCCCCACTTATATCTGAAGTTTCACCCCTATATACATGAGGAGATGAAGGCAATGATATAGCCTTCTGAGTCGAACCTGTTTGCTTTCTGAAATTATTACATGTACTAGAAAGTCTTCCAGATGCTTCATCCTGCCAAAGAAAGTGATATTAGGCTTAAAATTAAGTATGCAGTTGAAATTCCACACATTCAGTATAAGAAAAAGCAGGAATCACTTTAGGCACAGCCAAACAAAAATTCAAAGAAACATAAAGTAAGCAAAGTACAGAAAAAAATGCAATACATCTTAAAGACTGCGTATCCATCGAGTAAGCACAAGAGACACAAAGAAAGTAGTATGTTGAATGAGCTAGACATCAATATTGAATAGCCTTATCAACCAGTGATGAGGAATTTATTAAGTTAAAGGTGCACAGAAACAAGCCAACCAAGCTTAGCCTCTACATTTTGAAGAGATTCTGATTTGAATCTTTGTAGAGGTGGTACCCACATAATTCTCAATGTGGGCGTCACGCCCTCCGTTATTCCCAAGTATGTGTGTAGGCCTGGAGTAAGAGTACAGGTGAACAACAGCAGGATCCTAATCAGGTTTCAATAGTAAATATTCAAATATGGTGCAGAGGTCACATTTTCGTTGCCATGCAAGTATTGCATGTAGCAGTTGACATGCTATGACATGGTTCGTATACCAACTGGCACAAGCACATTTACTAGAGCCAGCTGGGTGTACCGCTCGGTATACCGTACCATACCGGTACCGAGCCCAGGTCGAAACACCGGTACGGTACGGTATTGCGAACCTTGCTTCATAGTACTACCATACATAGGAGAAAAGATCCATATAGCTGTAACAAGTCAAGAAAATGAGATATAACATGATCTGAATTTGGGCAGCTTTAGTCTCAGTCATAGATCATGAGTATTTGAACCAGGTAGTCCAATGAATTATCATACAATGTGTATCAATACATATCGTAAATTGTAATGTGAACCATGGTCTGCAGTACCGAACTATACCGTCCGGTACGGGTGGTACGTACCGGTCCGACAGGTTGCTGGTACGCGGACCGCCTGTTACCGGTCCGAGTGCACTGTAGCAGTGCTACAGTGCTCGGCACACTTGAGTATACCACTCGGTATACCGTACCATACCGGTACCGAGCCCAGGTCGAAACACCGGTATGGTACGGTATTGCGAACCTTGATGTGAACTATCTATGAGAATATGGTGTCTACATAAAAATGAGTGAGAATGCAAGAACAACAAGAAAGCATTAGCAAACCTTGGAACTAGGATACATACATTACTTGATGGATCATTCAACCTGTGTTTATCATTCATAGAGAATGAACCTGAAGCTTCAACAACATGATCTCTCAGGAAACGTTTTTGTTTTAAAGTTTCGTTCATTGCTCGAACAGTCCTGCAAAAGAAGCTTTATGAGAACGACGAAAAACTATCAAAACATATGACAATTACCTGAATTCACACAAAGAAGTAGAAGTATATGTTTTACAAAAATCACAACAAGAAGAACAAGACATGTTTCCACATATACCAAGGAACAAACAAGATATAAAATAAATGAGAAGGTATAGCCGTATAGGAACATGACAACCAATATACAAGATATCACCATCCAGGAATTCATAATTGCACAATGCAATAAACTGAATATATATTGTGCAAATCCATTATTATACATTTTACGTTGTGGAAACAAAATTCCCATTTATAATAAGATAAGCATATAGTGTTTGGTTCATATTAATCATAAAAAATACTTGGAGGAAACCCATATTTGTAATAATAACACCAGATATACATTTGAAGTATTATATTGTCAAAATCAAGGTATGCAATTTCGAATAATACAGCCCGGTATGGGCGGTACATACCGGTCCGTCAGCTGACCGATACACGAACCGCCCGTTATCGAACGGAACGATATATATATATATATATATATATATATATATACCGAGCGGTATACCATT